CTGTGAGACAACTAGAACATTTCCTGCTGTAGAGATACGGGCTCAGAAAGCACTTCAGAGCAAAGAATGCTCACCTAAGGACTTCTGGAGCCCCATGTCCCCAAGCTGCTGTTGAAGGGAGAAGGGGAGGCATGCAGGCACATGTGTACCTCAGGTGACCACAGCAATCACAGTCACACAGGAGATGGAAGGAAAAATGTCTCATGCAAAGGCTCTGCTCTAACCTGAGGGGTTTGAAGATCAAAACCAGACCCTGAATTGCTCCTACAAATCAATGAGCCATTGCAACTTACAAAGCATAGGAACAAAGGTATTTTTTACACTAAAGAGGATTTCGTCATTAGCCAGCTTTATTCTAACCACTATAACTTACACAAACAATTGTTTCCCCAGATAGCATGTGTAGTCAAAGCAGGGAATAGAGGTGGCCATCACTGCTACAAGAGGACCTGTTCTAAAGAGAATGCCACAATGCTCAAAAAGCATCATATAATGCTACAGCTTATGCAGTCAACATCAGTGCTCCCTTAACAACAGCAACCTGGTTCTGTTCCTTTAAATGTAACCACAATAAATATTCACCAAGCTATAAGGTCTTCTATTACTTACCTCACTTAAATGATAGGGCAGCCCCTTGCATCTCTGCTGAATCCATACGTTGATACACTAAGGGGGAGACTATAAATAACAGATTTCAGGGGCTACTGAACCAGAAGCATAGATATGACTACACTATTCCTAAACCCTTCAAACTTTGCACATTGAACCACTTCTACTTGCCATCATCTGATTAGAAAATGATTGTTACTTAAGCCAGGCAAATGCTTGCAAACAGAAAATCAAAACAAATAAAATACATTCTTCCCTTAAAGAAATCAGCATTATTTAGAACAGTCAGCTTTACCAAGCACACTGTAGCTGTTGAGTATGCCCATCTCTGTCAAAAGGCAATTATTCTTGAGAGAGATTGAACAGTGATATACAGAAGTTCTAGTATTTACCAGCCTAAACGAGTAACAGCTCATGAATGTTCATGTTCCCCCTCCATTCTCAGAGACGGCTCTTTTGCAAGCCGTGTTCTGCTGTTCGCTTGGTTTCAATAGCCAGGTCAGACACCATGAAACTGAGCAGAGCCTGTCAAGCAGAAATCAGCTTTATCAGAGGACAGATTAAACTCTATACGGGTGAGTTCACTCTTTCCATGACTCACCAATCTGTTTGAGGGTCACAGGCTCCTGTCAAACAAATGTCCGTATGGTCACAGTAGACACTAAAGCGCAAAACGCAGCTGAGACAAGGGGATTTGCAGGCAGGGAGGATCTTTGGGTGACAAGCAATAACCAGCCTCGGGGCTCTGCTTCATCACGATGAAACAGTGAAGCCAAATATGAAACAGGAGCAGCATGAGCATCCTGCATCCTGAAATAAACACTGCAAATTGGGTTTAGGCAGTGTTGAAAATATGCCCCTTCAATTTTTCTACATCCAGGATCTCTTCCATCACACACTTTTACCACTTTGCTTGAAGATTTGGTCAGATTTAAGCAAGGTTTGGTGCCACCAGATAGCACTTGGTTTGAAAAACAGTATTTTGTTTCTTGAAGTTTAAATATTGTTCCTTGCCCTTCATACTAAACTACTTCTAAATTAAAGGAAAACTCAACAAGCCTGTCCCTACCACCTGCAGCATGGTGTCTGCAGTCAGCTCAAACAGGAAGAGAATACAGCTCCTCTGCTAAATCAATATTTAACTAACAGCCTGCTCCATACAGATATGTAAATATCCTGCAACTGACATTAAAGAGCTCAGCTCTGTTACCAGGCCTGGACTTTTTTAGAACACCACCTCAGATCATCTTTGCAGATTTTTGATTAACGGGGCTACAAACTACGTATACATTGAAGTCAACCACATGGTCCTGGCTCATCTGGAAAGCCCAACATCTCCCTCCCACTGCAGTTTGTCACTACAACACAGAAGAGGCAGCATCAGTGTACCCAGAGCCTTGTTCTCCACCATAGAGGCACTCTGGAGATGTTGGTATTTGATTGAAAAATATTCCAAAAAACAGCCGAATTTCTAACAGTGAAACAAGGGGGGCAGTGCATCACGGCTCTGCTCATCAGCCCCCTTCCCTCCCCAGGGCAAAGCAGTCTGGGAAGCTGGAGGAATCCCCCAATGGAAAGGGAGTAGAATTCTTGAGAGCCATTTAACTTCTCATCTCTATTCCAAATAAAACCAGAGATGGACATTACACATCCCATCACAATCTTTTATCCTCTCTAATGCAATCCTAGACTTTCAAATACCTGTGGGGAAGACTTTACCTCATGGCAGACTGTTCCACAGGTTAATTTTGCCTAACAAATGGTGCTGTTAAGACAAACTCCAGGGTTTCCTGCATGGCTCTAAAAAGTCAAACAGAATGAAAACAGTTAATGCAGCATGCGAGATGACATTTTGAAACAAATCCATCATTGTTACACCAAAGTGTAACTGCAGTCCTTCCCACACCCTAAATAACCATCTCCCAACTGTTGCTAGCTCCAGAATTTGAGATAAAGACTTCTTATATCAAAATACTTTTTTTTCTCTAAGAAAACCTATACCTTGGGATGGGAAGGAGGGTGAAGGGGTTAAGATCTGGCAGCAGAGATACCAGATGTGTCTCTGGCTTATCAGATTTATAGATTTATTATGTAAAACCCCTGAATACCTACTTCTGTTGGATGCTTCCCGTCTATTTTTAGAACGTGCAGATAGCTCATGTGGAAGAGAAGTTCCTGTCTGTGCCCCTCGGGTTCAACAGGAGCCCTACCCTGCAAACCACACACAGCTCTTCTGTATACAAAAGATGTTCATTACTGCTTTGCTAGAAGCAGGTTGTTTCCCTCTCCCAGTTTAGTGTTTCTGGATTACGGCAATTTCCACACTAATCCTGTTCCTTAGGCATCTGCAACAATCATCATAATATCTGTAAGAATATATGTAAGGGACAACATAAAAGAAAAATACCACTTTGGTGGTCTCATTAAAAAAGGATTTCTAAGATGCAAAACATGATCTACAAGTTGTTGTAACTAGATTAACAACAAATGTTTCATTTGAATACTGTATTTTAATTAACTAGATTAACATTAATACAGTTTATCAAGTCATTCATTTCCCCGTTACAAGGTTAAAACATTAAAGTTGATAGAGCAGGGCACTGCTGCACTGAGTTACAGAACCCTCCTGGAGAAAAAGCTTACACTTATTCAAAAGGTGCTCGCTTACAACATCTGGATTATCACAGACAATGACAACTTGATATATCCTTTACCAAATAACTTTTAATGCAAACATCTTTCAACCTGTGCTCATACATGTACACACCTACTGCAGAAGCAACGCTATGCTCAAAAGCGTCAGCATCCTGAACAGAACAAGAAATGCTGCTGCAACACTGGTTTGGCAGGTTCCTTAAGAGTATTATTCCTTTTGGATTTAAATTGAGTAGTGGTTTGGTTTTCTCTTCACTTATGTAACTGAAATACTGACTCAATCTAGAAATGACAACAGAACAAAACATCTTTTGAAAAGCTAAATGTCTTCGTGGAACTAATTCACATGTGCAGCCAGTGCAAATGGACAGCATCAGTTTCAACAGGTTTAAATAATCACCAACTAGGCTTAGTCAGATTTTGTTCTTAATTCAGATTTTATTTAGAATTTAAATTTATAGTTCAAAAAGTATGCACATTCTGTAGGTATAAAAGTTTAAAAAAATACATCGATTTATTGATAAATGCTTCAGGTTAAATTTACATTTTCATACATTATCATTATATTGCAATAATTGTCTTGCATCTTTTAACACTTATAAAAAATAAATTAATGGGATTGGATAAATCATTTGAAATCGTGCTAAAATAATTCCTTACAAAAGAGGGGTGAAGTTTGCCATTGTAATTCTGAATTCCTTGCTACTGTAAATAAATAACTCTTCCATTAAGCAATACAAGGTTAGCAGAACAGCACTTACCCACAGGGTGAATAGGAAGCCATGGTGGGATGCCAACATTGTACCAAGAATGTGAAGGGAATTAACTTCTACCCTGACAGCAACTTTGACCTCTCAAAACACAAAACCCTCTTACCCTCACCCACCCAATTCCTCCCTTCCTCATGGGGGATGATGTGTAAAGGACAAGGAATGACTCTGCATCTCCTTCTGGTTACAGGGACTATCAAAACATCCGTATGTGATCTGGTAACTATTTTTAATTAAACCAAGAATGCATTTCCTTAACGTGAAATGTGTAATTGCTCACCATAAATAACTAAAGATAAAAAATGATCTGAGGAGAAGATGGCAACAGCTCAATCTAATCAGGTCACAGTGAACTGCAATCCCACCCAAACTCCCCAGGAGTAACATCACTCAACCCATTCTACCTCATGTAACAACTCAGGTTTCCATTTTGGGGAGATTCATTAAAATAAAGACTCAGAAAAGAAGTAACTGCCTTTGAACTTGAGTCTTGCATCTCCAGAGCCTTCAGAGAGGGCTCAAACACAGATCTAACTACAGCAGCCAGCCAAAGGTACCACAACAGAAACATGTGAAACTCCACAATAATGTAACAGGTTACAAGGACAAACCAGAAGTGTTTTTTGAAAGGTAAATATCTTCCAGACCTTCCTTATATATGGAGGGGAAATGAAGAAAAAAAAGACAGGGAAAAAAACTGAACAAACAATAAGGAATAAAAAAAACCAGGGAAAGCAGGTGGTGTGTGAGAGAGAACACAAGGTCATTAATGTTAATAATTCCCTTGCCTTCCCCCTGGCCATATCTCTGTGCATAAAACAAATGCTGTGTTACCCAAGGGATAACCTCCTCCCAGCATCACTGAGCACGTCCTCCTCAACACAGGTATGCTGCATCATTTTGAGACCTCTCCTCTCCAAAGGCGGCTACAGACACATGCACATTTATACATAGATATATACAAGGTTAGAAAAATATTTAATTTTTGCTTGTTTAAATAATTACTGGAAAGTGTTAATACAGGAATACGTTAATATTTGTACAATTAAAACTTTATATATAAATATTATATATATATAAAGCATTTTTCATAGCAGCCATTGCATATATAGTAGAACAAGTCTGTGAAGTCTATGCTGCAAACTGAGGCCAAGCAGCATCCATCCTCTTCTGAGAGGAACATCTGTACCGGAGCCAGGATTTCAGGATTGAGGAGTTCTGCTCCTCCAGTAAAGCCACTGCTTTATCTTGTACCAGGTATTGCCCACACCACCTAAGTGCACAGTGGTTTTAGGGAGAAATGCCACTATGTGGAATCACCTCAGTGTCTTTAAGCTTGTCTCCAACAGCTGAATCAGGCCAACACCTTGTAACAAAAAAGCAGAAACATAACGGAATGGCTTAAAGTGTGTTAACATCAGGTAGCCATGGCCTTATCATGAGGTGCGAGGGGGCAAGTCAGGGGCAAGGAGGAGGCGTCGTGCAGGACAGGGTTTAGTAACTCAGATTTAGTTTGTTTTTGTTGAGTTCCCTTTCCAGGTTTCCTATCAGAGTATCGATGCTTTCCTGCAGGTCTTTGAGGTTTGCTTTGTGATCCACCGTGGAGTCTATCGCTTGCATTGTCAAATAGCTCTGAAACGTGTGCTCCCTGGGGACGGACTGGGGGTGCCCTGCCGGGGCATCCAGCTCCTCAGCTTTGCTGCTGTCATCCCCGCTCTCTGAGTCCTCTGAAGGGACATCATCGTAGTCTGCTTCAGTCAGGCAGTCTTTTGAGTTTAAGAAGTAGTTCTCCCCACAGCTACTCCAGTCTCCAGCATAGCGGTTGCTCGATGGGCTGTTTAGACCTGCTGGCCTTGGTCTGAGTACCCCAGATATCTCGGTACCACTCAGATTCAGCATCTGAGGCCTCTGCCTCTTGGATCTCAGGTAATTCAGGGAGGATGGGTGATCGGGAAAGGCATTCAGATGTGCTGGCTCTTTGGCAGGTGAGTGGTGTACTAGAAGAGAGAAGTTACACCAGTCAGGAGTGAATCCCTGCTGAAACAAGGAAAGTCGACAACAGATGCCGACTCTCCTCCCTTGATGTCACACGCTAAGAGCATGCATGAATACATGCAAGCTTACAGCCAACACATTCCACTATTATATTTTCCACCACTGAATGATACAAAATAATTAGAAAAACTACTGTCAAAGCTCAGTTTTGAAGATTCATGCCAGATTCAAATTGCAACAGAGAAAAAAGCCTATCTAAAAAGTAGAAACTCCCAGAGCACCGATTAAATTCATAGTGTGAGTTAATCACCATCGGGCTCCAGGTCAAGGGAAAGCAATCAGCTCAGCTCACACACCTGGCCCAGGCTACAGGAGTAACAGAAAGCAGGCACAGCAAAAGAGGTTAAAACGCAACAAAAAAACCCCACTGCTGAGAAATACCTAGAGAAGCTGAAGAGCCGAACTCTTGCACTTCTCTTCTGCCCTAACGTTCTGTGCTATTAAAGCAGCTCATTTGCATTAATTTGCCTAAGCAGCCACAACCCCATGTCAGATGTACACTCAAACAGGTTTGATAGCAGCATTACCTGAGCTCACGATTCTACAGCATAAGTTACTAACAGTCTCCTCCACTGTTACCGGCTTCCTACGGTAAACAGCACAAATATTTTTACTGACCTATTATGCCCATTAAGCATCTGAGCTGCAAAACTTCTGCTTTTACACAGACCACCTCTTGGAATTAACAGCAGAGACTTTCTGTTCCCACAGAATAGAAAACGTGGTGCACATAAACCCTTGCAGTTCACAATCTCACCCAATCCTCATTGGACTCCTCACACACAAGCACAAAGGCTCAGTCCCAAGATGTGCCCAATGGTTTTCTGTCTAGGTCTGCATTACAGGTCTTTCCAGGGGATTTTAGTCTTACTTTGCATCCTGCACAGTAACATGCAATAACTATCACTGCTTCCCCCCCGCCCCCCGCCCTCCCTTACTGTAACAAAAGCCCTTCTGTTTAGACTATGCTTCATTAAGAGGAAGGGCCGTGGCTTAACAATAACTTGCCAGTATTGTACGGTCTAACTGAACAAGGACTATTTGTTTTCAGTTGGAAAAATACGGAAATTGAAGTATTGCACAACATGTTGATTATCAAGCTGTCTCAATCTACAGAATTGAGGGACAAGACTGGGATCCTTCCGTCAGGTCCAACTACTCTGTTTACACTGCCTGGTGTACACCTGCTCACGTCCCTGTGTTTGTGTTTTATCACTCTTTTAGCACAATGTTCAGTTCTTGCAGTCCAAGGGACAACGTTTGGCTCTCCTCTTCAAGGTGAAGGAAAACTCCACTACTGACCCTACTCCTGGTCCCCTTTACAGCATGGATACTCCTATGGGCAGAGCTACATCTACCTACTTGTTTTCCACAGCAGCTATGCCATAAGCCATCCCCAGGGTTTCATAACTATCTTGTGCACAGCATCTGCTGCCCCAAAAGCTCTCAGTCTCCCTCTTCCTCCATCCATGTTTCTGTCCTGTGCGGGCTCACCAACTGATAACCTGTTCTAATTTTTGGTGGTCAGCAGCTTTTGGACTGGCCAGCTGCAGCTCACAATGGAGCAGAAGTGTCCTCAACCATCTCAAGCCCATCATGAAGATGCACCATTTGTCAAAGTAACTCTCCTCTTGCTCTTATCTTCAGGCAGAGCCAACAGCTGGCAGCTTCCCTGCCGCGCTGACCCAGAGCACAGTCAGTGTGCACTTGTTACAGCCACAGGGTTGGCTGTCACAGGAGTCGACTCCAGGACACAGTCACCACCAGGTCACCAGAGTATGGAAATAATGTGAAGAGCATCATCCACAAGCAGCTCTTGCAGCAATATCCTTCCAGCACCTGCACCTGAGCTGCTGGAAAGCCACTCACCCACTCAGCTGGAAATGGGGCAGAGTGGCTAGCACTGCCTAATGCAAGCAAACTGTTATCTATCAGGTTGTCAGGATGTTTCCGACTCTGCTAAGTTACAAGGGAGGAAATAAAACAGCCCTTTGGGTCATTTATGAGACCAAACAACTAATGAATTCCATACACAGTTAATCCTGAATGGTCAAAGCAGGAGAGCAGGTGGGGAAAAAGAACAAACAAAGCCCCCATAAAACCCCAAAAAAAACACCCCCCAAAAAACAAACAACAAACAAAAAAAATCCCCAAAGCCCCCTAATTCAGATGCTGAAGCCTCACTGTTACTAGGTTTGTTTTTTCTCATGTCTTTAATCACATAAATCACCCTCCACCATTTCTGACATTATACTCAAACCGTCTGACAAGAAAGCAATCAAAACAACACATTTCCTATTAAACAAAATGATCAAATATAAAGAGTAGATCACAGAATTGTCAAGATTTCTTTAGATTACCAGGTGATAACATAGTACCTTGTGTTTTAGGAACTATGATGCTGCTCAATCATCCTGTGGATTAACATACACTGTTACACAGTACAACCGCACAACAGTGGTTCATGAAACAGTACCTGGCCACAGCTGGAGTAAATAGTGAAGAACCTCTATGTGCTTTTTGAAGTCTAGGGCACTAGCAAGCTCCTCTGAGTCAATGAAGACTCTGTTGTTATGGTTGGTGGTCTCCTGCCTCTGGCTCAGTAACACAGGCCCAAAACATACAGCTAAATTCTGGCATGTCATCTTATTTACTTCGTGGTAAGAAGCCACTAGTTTCAGGTGATCCAACAGCATCTTCAGGGTAGCCTAAAAGAACAAATTAAGACACATTTTCTGGTAAAATACAGCTTGTTTCTTACCTGATCTCAGTTTTACATTTATGAGTTTTCTCACAGTGGAAAGGGGACAGGACGAGAGGGGAGAGAAGCTGCAGAAGCAGTAGTGATGATCCAGGTACATTAGAAAATAAAGAAATATTCAGTATGACCCCAGCATCAGAACAAGCTTCCAGGTAACCTTCCAGGTACTGTGCAGGCCACTCACTCTCTATGTACCCCCTAGAAACAAGCTAACTGTGGTTTTCTACATTTGGGAGGTGTCAGCACACACCACTATTACACTGCACAGTAGTAAACAAAGACTTCATTGCACATACTTAAGAAGGCGAATGCATCTGCCCTTGTGATTACGACATACAGATCAGAGAGCTCCACAGAAATGGAGCAGGATACCACAGGAGAATGATCTTCAATCTAACAGTGTAAAAGTAGTGGTCACAGCTTTTCATTCAGTTTTACAGGGACAATATAAAACGCAACCCAGAATAAACCCAGTAATGCAGAACCTCCAATTAATCACAGCATGGAAGTATTTTCAAAGACGTGGGGCATCAGAAATCCAAGTGGACTGTTAAGTCAGGAAATGGGTGTACGCATTTTGACATGTTTTATTTCCAGAGTGAAAATGTTCCTTAATTTTCTGAAGCATACAATTTACTTGCCCCTGCTAACACCACTCACCTTCTCAACGTCTGGCAGGCAATCCAGAAGGGCTGCTGTGTGCTCAGAGTCACTTGGGTCATTTTCACATCCGCTTGCTGTCATTCTCAAGGGATTTTTCACCATGGCATCCAACACTGCTTCGTAGAGCTGCTTGGTTATCAGGGGAGAAGGTAGCTCTCGCAGGTAATCCTTTAGGACACCTTCACAAGAGACACAAGAACAGTTGCATTTAACAAGGTGCAGATTCACTTTCCAGCGCTTTTTGGGACCACTGAGGGACATCAGCTTCATCTGAACCATGACAAAATTCTTTGTGTCAGTGACGCTCCTTACATTTGTGAGCCAGAGGTGAGAGGATGACAGCAACATGGCACAGTGAACCATGGACTCAGCTAAGAGGCAGGAAGTATCTCTGCAACCTCCCCATAAGGCTAGGGCCACCAGCATCCCATCCCTGCAATCTCAGCAGCTTCTCCAACTCATGCAAGGCAGCTCATCACAAAGAAAGCAGTGAAGCTAGGATACGAAGGTGCACTGCCTCCAGAGGTGTGCGCAGGAGCGGGTACACCAGGCACAGAGTGGGCACCTCTCCTCATTGGGGTGACAGAGAGGCAAGGAAAGGGCTCTTAGCAATCCCCCGCCCTATCCAAGGAAAGGAGCTTTTACGAACACCAAAGTCTTCAGCTCCATGACACCTCCTCCTTTATGTGCAACGGCATCCAATTTGTCTGTTTGGTTTATTTGCAGCTATAAAATGATAAGCAAACATCCCGGTGCCAGCAGCATGTTTGGTGAAGGACACGCATTTCCTCACCTACCAAAGCAAAAATCACATAAATGTCCTTGAAACACCAGCTCCGGCCTGCCTGCCATATTGCTCTGGAATATGTTTTGGTGTATTTTGTTTGTTTTATAAAGAATATGCCACTTCTGTTACAGCTCCACTTAAGGGGCTAGTTTTTTGTTTAACAACTTAATTATATTCCTCTCTGCTCACCAAATTTTATATCTTCCCTGGGTTTTAGAGGCCCATGTTTCATGCATGGCTGGTTAAAATATTTGAGAGACAAATGTGGCAGAGGCTGGTGCTGTACAGCATGGCTTGGAATACTTTCCTTTTTTCATAAGCAAAACAATAGCAAAAGATGCTGACTTTTATCAGGATCTTTGCTTCAGCTGTGCTTTTTTTTTGGAGGTGGAGGCTGACATAAGAATCAGCTTACAGTAGGAACTGGTCTGCCATAACCAAATCCTTCTATACCACTGAAAAATTCACAACCATCCTTTAAAAATCATTTAGTAAGAAATCCTGTAATAGCACCCACAGTCATAGGACTACCACCTGTCAAAGGACTTTCTCCTGTTCAGCCCTGAATAACAGGATAGTTTAATGCCCTCTGACCTTTCTAAATCCTATTGCTATTCACTCAGCTAAATTAGCCCTGTAAGAGGCTGCTGCTATTTCTTGTCGCGAATCTACACTTCCTACTGTTGCCAGCCCACTAGCACATTTGCCTTGACACAACCACACACAACAAATTTAGACAGCAAGCACAAACTGCCATCCACTTCATTAATTCCTCATTTTTCTGGCCCACTGAGCTGTTAATAGCATTGCATGCTTTATGCAGAGATACAAATTCACGTGGATGCGAACAGACACAGTACAACAACATGACTCCTGGTCAGTTCCAAAATTGGGCTGCACACTCCAACTTGACCCACAACCGAACTTAATTTGTGTGTAAGCCTCTGCCAACCCCAAGAGCATTTCTCAGTCAAGATTTAGTCATTAAATATTCATTCTTTAGCCTTTGGAGACCTGTCAAAACCAAAAAATCCTTTTAATCTCTTCACAAAGGAGCGCTACTCACATTTCAGAGGGACACGAGGCAGCACTTCTCTCCAAATCAGCCAAGATTTGTGCTGAGGATTCATATTTTATGGAACACATATTTTAGCTGATAAAAGTATGAATTGTGTGCATCAGCCTCAGCATTGCAAGTACAGCAGTAAAACACCAGGGAAAACATTCCCCCACAACCCAACCCCCTAAGGAAATTCAAGAGAGGTTTTTGTGGGCTCTTTTATTGCTAGCACTAAGCACAGTGGGTACCTAGGTCTGTCAGCAGAAATTGCAGGTTCCCCTTTCAATCTAGACCATTTGTGTGCTTACAAGTTAATATCAAGTAGTTTCTGCTGTTTGGCAGAAAGCACCGGAGGGTTTTTATTCCTCCCTTTCTGAACTGATTTACGAAAATCAGGGAAAAAACAGGGCTTCAGTAATTCATGGAACAATCTGATCTTAGAAGTTATCACCATTTTTTCTCATTAATTTATTTGTAAAGAGAATAAATTTATCCAGTTTAAAAGATCCTTTTTAAAGGGTATATACCATCTGTGTACATGAACAGAAACACACATTTCTGCTGCAAGAATGCTTGTACTTCAGAGCAACATTGAACCCAACTGCAAAAATCTGCCAAGGCAAGTAAGGCAAACAGACTAGACTGTACATTCTGAATCAAAGGGTTTATTTAACCCAGTAAATGCCACCAAGGAGTAGTATAATTATATAAAGTAGTGCCAGAAGACTAAAGTGTAATGAACAAAATTCATTCCCAATACACTGAAATGAAATAAACCACTGAACAGAGTAGAACTGTCCCATACAGCTGGATGCTGGATGCTACAGAAAGGGCTTTGGCACAGGAAATTTATACCCTGGCAACTGTTGTTACATTTTCCATCCCTGGATAGGTAGGAAATTAATGGTTCTGACTAATTTCCCAGAGCAACTGGTTTATTCAGTGGTACCTGAAATTACAGTAACTTTGGCTCACATAACAAGTGTCAATACTCATAAAACTGTTCTGCTTTTAGGCAAACAAAAACAACCTCAACAGCTTACTTCAGTTATGCAACTCCTGTGAAGGCACACATGTAAAGAGCTGATGCAGATGCAAACCTCCTGTTCCTGTACTCCCACTCCTTCCCACCTTTGCCAGGACCTTGCTGCATGACAGCAAGCCAATGGCCGCTCCAGTGAGCAAAGGAAAGTTGCTATTTAATTATGCTTTAGAAGAAGCAATGACCAAATTAAGGCTCTTTGCTGCAGTTCTAACCAGCTTAAGCAAGATGATGGGCTTCCAAAAGTCCTGCAATCTACAACATAAAGGGAGGACAAGGGGTTTATCCGAGAAGGCCCTTGGAATCACATTGTAGAGTTGCTAGCACAGCTGATGTGCCTGATCACAGCCAAGTGATCCACTCCAATACAAACCAACAGCAGTTTAAACTGGCTCAGGGAACCTCAGCTCCTTTCAGACTCCCCTCTGTAACTGGTAGAGCAGTTACTGAAAGCTGCTCCTTCCATACCCTCCCTCCAAATCACTGCTGATTCATACTTATACATCCCCACTGCACTCATTCTCACCTAACTTTTATCAAAACAAAGCAACAGTTAACAGCTTGTTAAATGACAACAGAAAATTAGTTCAGAGCAAAACTTCACCTTCTAAAGGTACTTTAGGAACATGGCACAAGTCCATACTATAAGAAAGCAAGTAAATCTATTACCTGTTATGACATTAATATCCGGGTACTGGCTTTCACAGAGGGTAACAGCCTTGCTGTCCTTTTCAAATGCTTCTCGAAGTTCTTTCTTAACTGCTGCTGAGCCACATAACCGATACAGGCCTACCACCTAGAAGCAAAAACAACAGCCTGTATCAGCCATTTCCCTGCAGAGGGGACTAATAACTGGCATCATGTGTTGTCTCATCCAGGAAGTGCAACTAAACGAACTGTTTGGAAATTTATATTAAAGAAATTCAATCAGTGCAAATCAAATGGCCATGTATGGTATCAAACATTTCACAAGACACACAGTTGGGTCTGTGAAGTGCTGAATAACACTAATGTTTTCCATAATGGTGAACATCCTGAGCAGTATTTTGTTGTCAGGAGTTTTAAATTGGAATAATTTAGTGCTTTGCTTCTATGCAGAATCAGGAAATGAAATACTGATGAAGCATCTATTCTTATCCTATTTATTTAGATCACCATTATTTTTCCTAGTTTAGCTATAGAAGGCAGAAATGTAACTTTAGCAGAAAGAAATTAGAAAAAGCGGTTTGAGCCTTATGTATTTAAAATCACATAAATTTTACATATATACCAAAATAAGGTTATTAATCATTAAGCAGAAAAAAGCAGTCATACAACCACCTATTAAAATAAGAAATGTTACAAGAAATAAAAAAGAAACAAGCAACAAAATAAACCACACTCCATTATTACACCTACAATATGCTATTTTAAAGATTACAAGATGCTGACCTACATGTGTTTCAAATCATATTAAAAGTTTTATGCAAAACAGAGGTTATTTAACTTGCTCAAAGTGATAGGATGAAACCCACAACACTCTTGGACTGAATTACTGGTTAAATCATGTACTTTCATGTACTCAAATCTTGTATTTTATCATTATTTACTTTTCATCAACACCATTCACACAAAGCACTCTTATCTTAAGGAACTAAATCTTAAACATATTAATTTTATTTTAACGAACTTCATAGGCAGCTGTACTGAGCAGTAAATGGTTAGTCCAAAACTCCCAGGGACTCAAAAGACAAAAAAATACCCAAAGACAAACAAGCAAACACACATACAAAAAAAAAAAGCCAAATAAAACACACACATAGGAAAACCCAAACAAAAACCAAACCCTCACTTAGACTGTACTGACTAAGACCATACAAATCTTGGTTTGCAAGCAAGACTATTTGTCTGGCCATATATTAATTCATATTTAAATAAATAGAAAGTTACCCAATCGAATTTGTACCCTGTCTTCCCAAGACTGATCACAATCTAGTGTTTGCCTAAGATAATTTCTTTTAAACTTTTCTAATGCCAGACCTGGATTCAGGTGCAGGTAATGCACCATGACAGCAGTCTGCAGTATATAGTAAATATAAATGTCAGGCAAGCACATGGTTAAGAAAAAGTTAACAGTAGATTTCTCATTTTTGGTTCTGCTTGTGCAAACACACAAAACAGATTTCATGCTCAAAAGCACCAGGTAAATTCAGACAATTCGGATCCCAATCGCTTCATTACCAGTGTTGCCTTGATTACCCAATGTCATTTGCATGACTAGGTGCTAATAAGCCCAAAATAAAAATGCTGAAACCATGGGACACATACATTGGTAAGAATAAAACTTCTCTTTTCCACTGCTTTTCATAACAATGGATGCATTCACAATAAGAATAATACAGTTGTTATCAGCAGTGACTTTCAGCAAAGTAATTACATAGAAGTAAGATTTCTCTGTATTTTATGACCTAGGTTATAAATGGCAGAGTTAATTGCTTAACACCTGGAACTATATCCAACCTCTCAGCAATTTAAAATAGAAACAGTGGTAGGTGTGATTACTTCTCAATTCCACCTGAGCTAGAACAGGTGTACAAGAAACCAAGGGCTCACGCATGCTGTGGAATAGCATACAAGAGTCCTCCCACCATCCGACTGTAGGACTGTGAATAGTCCTTCATATTCCTTCCTGTCTAACATCCATAACTGGTTATTTGTTTTCATATGTCATTCCTCAAATATATTTTTGTCCATTACCTTACATCAACCAAAGAACTGTATTAAGATGAAGAGAAGAAACTGGGCACTGCTGCTTTACAGCATTCATCTCCTGTCCTGATTTTGAGAACAACCTAAAGAAAGGCCAGGGGCAGCAGCATGGGGAAACAACTAATTCAGTCCCTTGGGGTCTCCATCACCACCCGTGTGCCAGAGTCAAGTCTTTGGCATGTTGGCTCAAGACTGAACGCATGTAAGGAAAACCTTGTCAAAAGACCTGTCCTCATCACTTTGTGTCACTGCACAGGATGCCTCAGTTTTGGGGAGGAGGGAACATTATACTCATTTTTGCATTTAGATACATGTCCTTATGGAATGATCCACATCTCAGGAATCAAGCATTTTCAAGTTTCCAACTCTGCTTTCTGAGGGTGACTACATGCTGGGGGCTCCACATTCATTTCACTATTTCAGTCCTAAAGTACTATTTTGAGTACATCTACCCTGCAAAGGCCAAGTTGGAAGCACTGATTTCACACAGTTCTGTTATTCTTCCCACATTACAATGACTAGTGCTTACCAAACAAACAGGAGCAGCAAAGCAAAAGAAAACAAAAACTGACATGTAAAGGTGTTTTTAATTTCCCCTTTCCAACTCACTGCATAAACTCTGTGGCAACAGTTACCCTAACACAGAAGTATTAACAGAACAAATTAAAATATGCACAGTACCTGACAGCCTCTCCTTTCAATCTCCAGGATGCATTTCTGCATTAAAAGTGGCACCATCAAGCCTGCGTTTTCCTTCTCTACAACTTTCCGAGCATCTACCCCAAACATCACAGGCTCCCGATCTGCATCGAGGCCATCAAGAGAGTTCTCCCACTGTTCCATGAGTGTCAGCTTGACGTAAATAAGCCCCCTGGGTTCCAGCTTGACAGCCAGCTGATGCGTCTTTGCCACTCGGAAGAGAGTGGGAAGAGCCACGGTTCCATGGCAGCACACACGGTTCTTCCGCGGGGTGGGCTCCCAGCTGAACACCACCAGCTTCAAGTGCTGAGCGTTTTCAATTTCTATGTTGAACGTGTGGTCCATATCTAGGAATGTTGTCCTACATGTAAGCAAGGCTGTTCTTGCTTTGTTTACTGAGTCAACCTGTATTGCACAAAAGACATCTTTTGAGTCTATTCTTGGTGGTTTTAAGTCTTCAGCACCATAAAAGTGAATGCTCATGAGTCCAGAGAGGTACTGAGAGCACTTGGGTTGATCAGAAAAGTTGTAGTGTTTGAAGGCATCAATATCTATTTCAGTTTTACCACCATTACTTGGAAGGCTCTCCTTTCCTTTCCCACACTTGGTTTCATGCCCATGTTTACCTGATTTTGTTATAAGTTCAGGAGAGTCGCCATCACTGAGGTAACCACCTTTGCTGAAGGATTTGGAGCTCCTTGACCTTTTCTTTTTGGGGGTGTGTTGTGACAACACGCTACTGTCCAGGTGGTAACGACTTATCACATTCCTGCTGGCAGCTGTGGTTGAGTTTCCAGAAGATGGCAAAGACACTGTATGGCTTGTATCCCTGGCTTTCAGCAGGGAAGGAGGATTATCTGAACTAGTATGGCTTGAAGTTCCCTTGACACTCAGCTTCCTGCTCAGCTCTGGCAGCTTTTTCATTTTCATTGAAAGCTTCCTCACAGTTCTGGGAGATTTAATTCTATCAGGGAATGGCCAGTTGATTGATCCGCTTTTTTTCAGAGGACTGGGACTTGGAGGAGAAACCTCTGTTAAGGGAATATCAGCCTTGTGTGCAAGTACACCTCCAGACCCTTTAGAAGAAGAAAAGAGAAGGAATAATCATATTCAAACCACTCAGTAACTGCTGTTCTCAGAAATGAAAAAACAAATATTGAGCTAGAGGAAAACACGTTGATTTGTCATAACTTGATACACACAATTCATCCAGACAACCATCATTCATTCATCAGGCAGATGTTCATGAGCATTTGGAAAGCTGTGCTCTGCTGGCTCGTTCAGCCAAGTTTGGCAGTTCATAGTCAAAAGCTAGATTTGTTCTGCTTTATGGAGATGAAAGGGCCAGAAACTATGTACAAACAAACGAGCTATCTCACCCATGACATTCAGCTCAAGCTATTTGTGCTGCATCCCCTGTAGAAGCAGACGTGGCTGAATTCCTGGGGCACAGGTGAAATGAAACCAGTCTTAAATGGGAAAACACTGGAATATTGCAAATGTGCCCCTATCTACAAAGCCAGCCTTTAGCTACATAGCCAACACATCAGCACTGCCGACTCCTCTTAGGTCTAGAGGAAAGACACTCATCTCTAGAAAAGATTATGACCGTACTCTTCTGCATGTCCTTCTATTACACCAAAGAGACCTAAAACACTCCTGTGTAGACACAGTGAACATCTCACACCTTTTCTTCCATCATTTCTCTCAGCTCCTCCTTCTCATTGCAGGACGAAGGAGTACAACAAGGATTTATTCCTTCCTGCACTGCCTCATTCCTGAAGTGTTGTTTTCATGAGATACTCAGCAAATCATACTTTACAGAGGTTTCTCTTGCAGATTTCTTAAAGGCTTACCACTTTCAATTCTGAACTAATCACCTTAAATCCAAATCACCATAGAGCTAGTGACTTTTACAAGTCCCTTGTCCAATCAGATTAATTTTCACCCTTTAATTGTAACTTTAAATACTTCACTTAGTTTAAACAGTTAATCAGGTGATCTGGTCTTTGGTCAATGTGATTTGTTGTAGTTTTGGTTTTCTCCCAAAAATTCCCCTACAAAGACCAGTTGTAGTCCCAACAGAAATTTGGCTTTAATAACTTTTGCAGACAGTGGCTTAAAAGAGTATCTGTATGAAAGTTTCAGTTATGAAAAATAACGCCTAGAATATGTTTTCCAGAGCAACAGAGGAAAATTCATTTGGCCCTGCATCTCATGGAATTAGCCCCCTTGCAGGGGAAGGGCTATTTCTAGCATGCCTGCTGTGCTTTTCTGGCAAGCAGCTAGCTAGAAACGTAGTGTTTGATAAAAGTAGACAAAGCCTTCCCTTGTACTGCAAATCACAGCACAGTCCCACTGGTGGGCTGGCCTGGAGTGCTCCACAGCACTCAGTGCCATACTGCAGACTGCTAACATTAATCTTCCCTTTCTGTCAAGTCTCTGGCACGGGCCTAGAAAAGCAGGCCAGCAAATTAAACTCCCCCCCCCCTTTCCAGCTCTTTGAAACTGAGAGTCAATCTAACACCCTGACTTTTATGTGTTGAACTTCTGCTGCATTCAGCAGCAAACAGTTAAAATGAAATATGTGGCTGGAAGAAACTTAACAGTCGAGTATTATGCAGGATGGTATTCCCATCAGCATTGAGCCACATGTTGTTCCACTAAAGCCAGCAATGTGCTGAGGTATGCACGCCATTTTAAAGAGTGTACACGATACAACTCTGAACAAGCTGCAAAAGGAGCTCTAGCTTAGTTTGGTAACACTCCGCTTCCCAGCCTTCCCCATCTGATTCAGCTTTCCCACAGGGGTGCCAGAGCAACTGAGCTGCTCCTCACTCCTTTACCAAAGTACAAGGCTTGCAGGAAACAGGTGCCTCACTGTCCTGCCCCTACTCAGCCACTGCACATCCCATCTCAGCAGCTAAGCTTTAAGAATACCCTTACAGAAGGATGGTGGAGGAAGGAAGAAAGAAGATGAAACATAAGAGGCACCTGTTGAGTAAATGACTACCAGGGGAGCAAGGGGATGGTCAGTTTTGTGTATGCAGCTGACAATATATTTATGTATATATATATAAAAATTGATTTCTTTTTTACAGTATGTCATGGTTTAAAACCAGTCAGGCAGCTTGTTCACTCACACACACCCCCCCCCCCTTCTTGCCTTCCTCCTACTCCCGGAGGGATGGAGAAGAGAACTGAAAAGAATGCAACTCCCATGGGTTGAGATAAGAACAGTTTAGTAACTAAGGTATAACACAAATCACTGCTGCTACCACCAATAATAATAATGATAAAGGAAATAACAAGGGAAGAGAATACAACACCTCACCACCCACTGACCAATAACTCACCCCCACCCCACCTGACCAAGCACCAACTGATACCTAGTTCAACCCTGCAGTCCCCCAGCCCTTCTGGGTAACTCCAAGTTACATCCTGGGCATGATGTGCTGTGGTATGGAATACCTCTTTGGTCAGTTTGGGTCAGGTGTTCTGTCTCTGCTTCCTCCCAGCTTCCCCTCCTCCCTGGCAGAGCGCGAGGCTCAGAAAGTCCTTGGCCAGACCAAACATTTGAGCAGTAACTAAAAACATCGGTGCTATCAGCACCATTCCAGGCCAAAAGTCAAAAGCACAGCGCTGCACCAGCTACCAAGAAGGAGAAAAAAATGACTGCTACTGCTGAACCCAGGACACAGTGAGAACACTCAGTCACTGGAACAAGCTTCCCTAGGACACAGTAGTCTCCACCACTGCAGGTTTTCAAGACACAACTGGACAGGGTGCTAGGTGACCTCATCGAGGCTCTCCTTCCCACCACAGGGTGGACCGGACATCTGCGGTCCTTTCCAACCTGGGCTGTTCTATGATATACTGTCTTTCCTACATATACCTTATGCTTTCCTGAAGATTTAGCATTATGAGCAACACAAGAAAAAAAACCAAAACAAACCAGCTTTTGAAGGCCAACACAAGCCAAATAAAAGTGACTTGACATCATAAGTGCCTGCTTCCATCATCTTGACTAGTAAAGCTGCCTTTTACTTTGCTCAGTGATATGGCTATGTGAAAGGATGAAACCTTTTATACAACCAAAGAGACACAACGGGAGAGACACAACCAGCCCACAGTGCCTTATGAACCCTGATCCTCCCTTTTTCTCCACATCTGGCCAGATGTCCACAAGGCAATTGCCACTGTCCCCTTGGTCGAGCAGGCTGGCACGCATGGATCATATGCCTACACAACACTGCCCCAACGGAAGACAGAACTCAAACCACCACTTACAACACAGCCCCTGCCAGACACATGCAGTGATTCAGCACAGTAAAGATGCTTGTCTGACCCTGTTTAACACTGTTTACATGTGCTTGGGCACATATATCACTGTCATACCTGCTACCAGCAAGGCATGTTATTTTACAGGCCCATTTGGTTATCCTATTATACATGTCACATTCCTCATCACTTACGATAGGGTTTCTGAGTTATTTTAAAGTTTGTCAGAAAACGTGTAATTTATTTTTGGGACAAGAAGCTAAGGTGCATGAGTAAGTCAGAAAACTATTAGTTCCTTATTACAGCAAGCTATTGAAGTTTCAAATGGCCATTCTCTCAACTAATGGAAATGCTGAGTTCTCACCAAATTAAACCTGAAAGGTAATTTAATTTTTCCTACCATTCTCTAGACATACTTAATAAGTAAACCACAGTCTAACACTGAAAGCTTTTCTCTAGAATAATGGCATTAGTATTGAAGATCTAAGCCATTTCATTTTGAAAAGAGGAAAAAAACCTAGCAACACAGTTTACACGAAGTGGTTGTAACTTTCAAAACCAAAGCCTCCCTTCTGCCTATGTTTTTCATGCCTTTTTTGTAGTATTACTTACAAAGACAACCCAAGGACTTTTTGGGAAGATAAGTGTTAAAAATGAAAAAACAGCAAATCAAAACAGAGAGGCTCAAATATCTTAAAATTGTTCTTGTAGCAAACAATGGGTGAGTAAAAATGGACTACTGTTCTTCTGTGCTAGATTACAAGAAATACTGATCTGGATGCTCAACTGACACAAATGGCACAACTCTACTGATGTCAAGGGCTGTTAGCTTACACAGCTGCAGGCAACTTAGGTTTTTTTCATCCTCGGTTCCAGATCTGCTCTGATACAAAACTTCAAAAGAATTCATGCTGTATCAAAATCAAGCAATTTCATTTAGGATACAAAGAAAGCTTAATTTCTATTCATATCAGCAACTCTGGGTAGGTCATATACACACACAAAAAAGAACTTTTAAAAAATGAAACAGAATGGAATTATTTCTATGTAACATATTAATTATCTAAATAAATGGAAGAATCTCTGTTTTAACCTGTAAAAAAAGCCTTTTTTTACCCCTAGAAAAACTACTACTTTGACCAATGCAGTCTGAGTTCTATCTCACATAATGTTCCAGTGTGAACGAATGGAAAAATTATTAAAATGGTAAAAAACCCCAATCAAACAAAAATCCCAACAGACAAAAAACCCTCTACGTATCCAGTAAAGATAGTCTGCTTTTTTCAAATTCTATGCACATGGCATTATTTAGGCTGTGATAAACCCATCAACCAGGGATCACTTGATCCCTAGAGCAAAAGATATAAATTACTTTCAATAGCCCATTAATTAAAACAGGAAGTGATTACAGCAGAACCCCCCCGAGGCTCATGCACACTGAGAGGTGAAGGGGCTAACCACTCACTGCGTGTTCTCCATCACGGTGGCGACCCTCAGAGCATCCTTGACAGTGGTATCTTATTAGAGAGAGGAACAAGCACGTGTAACAGCACTTTAGGTCTCTCACCACACTTAAAGAGTTCAGTATCTACAAATAAGCATGAGTTAGTTGCAGATATTTTAAGTAACAATGATTCTGCGATGCACATAAACTGCAGTGGGCTCTGTTCATGTGCTGGCATCACACCAAGATACAAGCATCAAGACTGCGCCTGATGCCAATCACTGCCTGTTTGGGCTGCTCTCACAAAGATTTCCTCCCCTCACTGTGTCTTTCATGGCATGAAAAGCAGCTTTGCCCCTATTTCCCCAATCAGAGAATATGAACAGTTACTCAGTACAAATCAAACTGCAACAGGTAATGGCTATTTTAAATGAACTGCTCCCACTCCACAGCTGCTACATCCTTTTGCCTCTTCCACCAGCAGGTCTTTATGGCATTGTCATCCCGTAGATCAAAGACACATGCATGAATAAGCCCTTGATCTTCAAAAGCCTGGGCACAACCTCCCCATAAGCCCACCAAAAAACTGGCTTCAGCTCTGCAGGAGTAAAAGGGAGCAGGGGAACCTTTCTGCCATACACCAAACCATTCTGTTATCTCAAACATTATGCAAATATTTCACATGAATGCTTTTCTGCCTCATGAAACCAAAGCTCCTTGCACTTGGAGAACAGTTAAATCACAAAGCACCTTCCATCTGGAAAAAAACAAAAATTAAGCAAATAGTATCTGCAATATGTGGAATGAAACTGGGAGATAGAATTTGCTGTGCAGTATACTCTGTATGTTGCTGGAAGCTTATCTGCAACATCTAAGCACAAAAAATATTTGTTTGCATTGGCCCCAAAAGATGTATTTGGAAAGTAGGATAGTGGTCACAGTCTAAGTGGTGAAAGAACCTGTAGCTTTAATGTAATTTAAGGCAACCTCTATTGAGCATGCGTTGAGGTCAAGCGTGAACATGGTACCATAGAACACCAGGTTGGAAGGGACCTCAACCTCAACCTTCACTTCCTGCAATGCTGAAATGAAATCTGCTTATGGTGATTCCTCCCAGGATCTTCCACCCAGGCAGCTAATATATATACATTTTCCATAGCAAAAGCACCGTCCAGATCCTGGCAACCTACAATGCACCAACTCCTACCAGGATGTCTCTGAGATACACACATGTGTGAGATGATTCTACTGATTAGGTAGACACTAATCCCAACAGTAATCCTACCCAAAAGCAAAAATAATACAAATTCTTCAGAAGGTGCCACAGTGTAAATCTATCACAGGAGGTGGTATTGTAAAGAGGTATTTTATTTCAACATTTTGCAGGTGATAGACACATCTATAAAAATTTACAGTTAGCATTCAATCCTAAACAGCTGTAAACAAAATTTACTTCAACATTTTATATAGGCAAAAAAAAACTATATGTAGAATTCTTCATACTGCATTTATAACAAAAAAAAAAAAATCCAATCATTTTATCTGCACAAGGAGGCATTAAATTAAAAACAGCCTCCAGGGTGCTTTCCTCTTAAAACTATTTTCCCACAGACCTAAGAGCACAAGTGGGCACTGTTTCTACATTATGAACGTAGAACCAAGTTATCTTCTTACTCCAATCTCTTGTGTACTTGTTACAATCAAACCATATTATTTTCCCAAGTTCTGCTATAAAATCATAGAATGGTTTGGGTTGGAAAGGACCTTAAGATCATCCAGTTCCAACCTCCCTGCCATGGGCAGGTACACCTCACACTATACCATGTAGCCCAAGGCTCCATCAAGCTTAGCCTTGAACACTGCCAGGGATGGAGCATTTATCACTTCTTTGGGCAACCTGTTCCAGTGCCTCACCACCTCCACAGCAAAGAACTTCTTCCTTATATCTAACCTGAACTTCCCTTGCTTAAGTTTGAACCCATTACCCCTTGTCCTATCACTACAGTCCCTACGGAGGAGTCCCTCTCCAGCATTCTTGTAGGTCCACTTCAGATACTGGAAGGCTCCAGCACACTTCTCCTTGTGGCCCTCCTCTGGACTTGGTCAAACAGCTCCATGTCCTTCTTATGTCAAGGGCACCAGATCTGCACACAGTACTCCAAGTGGGGTCTCATGAGAGCAGAGTAGAGGAGCAGGATCACCTCCTTCGACCTGCTGGTCATGCTCCTTTTGATGCAGCCCAGGATACGGCTGGCTTTCTGGACTGCGAGTGCACACTGAAGCCAGCTCATGTTCAGTTTCTCATTAACCAACACCCCCAAGTCCTTCTCCTCAGGGCTGGTCTGAATCTCTTTTCCACCCAGGCTTTAGCTGTCCCTGGGATTGCTCCTAATCAGGTGTAGGACCTTGCACCTGGCTTGGCTGAACTTCATGTGGCTGGCATTGTCCCACCTCTCAAACATGTCAAAGTCCCTCTGGATGGCATCCCTTCCCTCCAGCGTATCAACTGAACCACACAGCTTGGTGTCATCGGCAAACTTGCTTAGGGTGCACTCAATCCCACTGTCCATGTCAGCAACGAAGATGTTGAACAGGACTGGTCCCAGTGCCAGCCCCTGAGGGAAATCACTTGTCACTGAGAACACCAAGGGGCACCTTATGTCTAGACAGTATCTTTTAAAAGTCAGCGTGGCCAGAATTACCAAGGAATTACCTGACAAATCCTATTAACAAACGGCACTTAGTGTAGAAAGTAACCAGATTAACACCAGGAACTAATGGTGCAAATTAAGACTATGGGGCAAATTAGTACCTCTACAACTAGGATCCATTTTATTGATAACATTTACAGGGAATATCTATCTGCTGTTGTGTTTGGAAAGACTCCAAATAACTGAATTCTATAATTTATTTTTTCTTAAAATTCTATCTAACAAGGTGTTTTTTTTAAAAAAAAAAGAGCAAAAAGAAACAAATCCACAACCCTTTTCTGCCTACAAAGTTGGAAACCCAAATAAGGCAACAACATTTAAGGTTTTAAAGGTAAAATTGATTCCATTATCCACAGAAGAAAGCAGCAAATGACAAAATGAACTGTGTATTTTGTTGGCTTTTATAGAACCCCCTTTATTCTGTCTATGCTTCTCAAAATCTTATACTTTAGACTCTAACCAATATTGACATATATTACATAATATCAGTAAGGAAGGTAAGCAGACTTTTCCCCAAAGCTGTAATCACTTATTTGTCAGGAGTTACTGCTGAATGTACCCAGCTTGCTAAGTATATAGACATCTGTTTCACAGCAGTTGTATAATTCAAGTAAGGTCCTAACACAAATAAAGCTAAATTGGCCATGTTGCCCTTCATTCAGTAATTCTGTATGGATGAGCTGTCATTTTAAATTTCACTGAAAATAACTGTAGATACCTTAACTGGATTAAAAACAACTACTAAGTCACTTCTCCATAATCAAGCCAATTACTGAGCAGCAGGGATCCACTTCATCATCAATTAATCTATTCAGCGTGATCACTGTTCAATAAATGCAAAATGAGAGCTGCATCTAAAGTACCTCAATTAACTCAATGCATAACAAACCAATCAGGTAAAAACTTTCCTCCCAGTTTCATAAGACATGTTTTTAAATAGGCAATTTTGCTCTGAGAAATAAATGTTTCTTCAGTATGAAAACGATTTGGATTTTTTCCTTCTCCCACATTAAGGGATTTATTTTTCTTAAAATTAAATAGTCACTTGTATATTGGGAGATTAACCCCCTAAGTGAGGGTCAAACAGTTTGCAGGACACACATGGCTTTCCTAAGTAACCATGCTTACCGACCTCTCCAAAGCACCTAGAGCTCCAACAATGACAAAAATCTACTTAAGAACATGGTATTTCATTTATCTTGCAAGCAAGTATAACTGGTCCAAGTATTTAATGCACCTATAAAGCGAGTTATTTCTAAATGAATGTCCAGTAACTTTGCCACTAAAAATACTTGCGTCTGCAGCTTTCCCACAAAAAGAACAAAACATGAGCTCCCAGAAGACCAAGTAGTTTTTATTTCTGGTGTTTATAGCAGTTGCTCTGGTGCCTTTGAAAACAAGCCCTGTTCCCAGAAAGCAGTCTCCACACTGGGAACCCAGGCACAGCAACGTTGGACACGTGACATTGTGAAGGCAGAAGCCTGCCAGGATGGCGAGCAGGGCAAGACAGACGGGGTCCTCCTCTGGAGGACAACACATATGCTCCAATGCCGGTGTTTCAGGTCCTCTCTGCTGAGCCAGGCAGAAATACAAGCTCTTACAAAGAGCAAAAGTGTGCAAAGGAAACGTGAACCTTCTCTAAAGAGGGGAACCTGGAATTCCCTGTCTCCTGAGCTTTATATTGTTTCTAACTCTCAACAGGATACTAGAGTTAAACTCAAGATAATGTAAGACACATCACTAATTAAAATAATACCTTTTGGAAAGGCTTGGGTTTTTTTCTGCTTACTTTTTTTTTGCTGTGGTTTTATTTTTGTTTGGGCTTTTTTAACAGACTGGGAAAAATATTTAATAAGATGCTGAATTCATGCAGTAATGGTATTATGGAAATGAGGCCATCAAACACTCAGCCAAAGATAACAAGGACCAAAGAGACTAGGTTCTGAAAGTGAAAACCATTCCTCTCCAGTCTATTAGATTAGCCTGAGACAGTCAACAAGACAGCAATTATAGAAAACGATGTGATGAATACCATTTATATGGTCTTCCAAAAAGTCTTTACTAAAAAGACCCAGACAGCAAGTTAAAGAAAGTTCTGCAGACATTAAGTAGCTTTGAGGCTGGAATCTAAGGCCAGGGTTAGAGACTACCTAACAGAGGAAACTCCACCACTATGTCCTCGCATTACCAGGCTTTTAGCAAGTTTGTTTTTTAAAACCTTTGCCTTCAGCAAGGTGAGGGCCCAAAAGCACAGAGGACAACCACACTTGGACATACCATGGACAAACTGACTGAGAAAAGACTGCAGCTCTACACCTAGTAGACATCAGTCTCCCAAACTGAGTCACATTTTATGAACTTGACAAGCATTTCCAGCAGAAATTTGCTTGATTAAGATAAAGGGAAGAGAAAGAGAAAAGAGAGGTATCAGAAGGGTTTATTATTCCTCTAAAAGAAAACAGAGGACATAAACACTCTGATGTTCCTGAACCCTCTTACCTGTTGAAGGGCACTTAAAGGTAGGATTGTCCTCCACTGCTGGTGCACTGGGAGCCTTGCAGGCAAACCTCTGCCGATGCTGCTGCATTTGCTCCCCAGCATGTGCAGCATCAGCCTGACTCACTTCGCTGGGCTGAGATGTATGACTGTTTCCTGTGCTCTCCATGGAGCATGGGGGACCCTCATGGGGACCCACAGACATCCCAGAGTCACCTCCAGGGAGGGATTTGTACCGAATAGCCAGGGAGCCCACAGCAACAGGACTATTCACAGCAGAAAGGTGCACCCTCGGCAAGTCAGGCTCATCATCTTCAGGGATTGGGTTGTACCATATTTCTCCTTCATCATCTGCATCATTATCCTCACCCAAGTCCAAAGCAGGGCTCCTTGGCACGTCAGGGCTTGCGGTGCCACCGACAGGAGCACAGCCTTGTATGGGGCGCTCCCGCCCCACTGGTGACACAGAGGCAGCCCGTGGTACTGCGGGTTCAGGCAGCGGGATAGGAGATTTGAGTACCGGGGTAACAGCCCTGTGCATTTCCTTACAGGCATTTTCTTCTTCCAGAGAAGGAGGAGGAGGTCGGTGTGTGCTCTGCTGCAGCCAGCTGCGTTTCTTAGAAACAGTGATGCTGTTCATCGGCAGCCTGTGCTCAGGGACTGCACCGGCCTGGGGGGACCCAGGCTCTTTCCTGCTTGAAGCTATGTAAACATTTTCGATTAGATCTGTTCCCAGAAAGAAAGGGGGGGAAAAAAAAAAAGAGGGAAACATAAATGTTTAGCATATCGTTTTGCTTTCAACAGATGAACACACATGCTGCTGTATGACATCTACATTAAACCTCATGCAAAAGGACAAAAGACAAGTTGATGTGATTATAAAATTAGATTTCAGCCTGTCAAAGCAGAATGTGCACATAATTAATAAAGACTCAGGCTTGTTTGGCTGTGTTTTTAACACCATGTAATTTAGACAAATGGCAGCGAGATAGCTCCGCTGAAAGGTCATGCATACTTACACAGAAACGGATGGGGTTTTCTGCCAAGTTCAGGTACAATTGGTTTCAAAAGTTGCTATGTGGTTGTTCTCCAGTTTACTTAGCCAGTGAAGAAACAGACCTTACTTTTGGTATAATGTACTACTAAAATTGCTACAAGAAACCCACATAGATTCACTTCTAGATTTTTATATAAATAGAAATGATGATATCTCGTGCACAAAAACCTCCAGAAAGGACTGTCTTTATCAGCTTTATCCTATAATTAAGACAGAAGCAATCCTGATTTGTAGGGAATAAAACCATCATGAAAGGAAGGAAGGAGAATGAAGAGCTCACAGAATCACAGAATGGTTTGGGTTGGAAGGGATCTTAAGGATCACCCAATTCCAACCCCCTGCCATGGACAGGAACACCTTCCACTAGACCAGGTTGCTCTAAGCTCCATCTAACCTTCCATGAACAGCTTCTCTAAGCAACCTGTGCCGCTGCCCCACCACCCTCACAGGGAAGAACTTCTTCCTCATGTCTAACCTAAATGTAAAAGTTTTTAAATATCTAATGACACACCAAAAATTTAATGCAACACCTGATCAGATTCCACTGACTGCTCCCGAGACTTGACACTATTTCCTTAAAGCAATCGCCAAACATTTAATTATGCATCCAAAAAGTCACCTACACTCAAGCCCCTTGTCAGAGCACATCCAAGCAGGCCACTCAGCAGCAGTGGCAGGCTGCAGGGCACCAAATGCAGCAGCACATCCAGGCAAGCACCGGTCCTGTCACTAGGACTGGAAGGAAAGCTGCAAATACATTCAAACGATAAACAGGGAATGGAAGACAGATAACCCTCACACTTCTCTGCACAGAAGAACAACCCAGACAGGGTTTGCTCAGCTACTGAGAATGAATGGGAATAACTGGGTTCTCCTAAAACAGACAACTTGTTTTCATGGGCAGCCCTCAGCAGTTTGAAATTCCATATGGGAGCAGCTATTTGATACTGCTTGAATGTTATTCTCAGCAAAAAACTATTTGAACACCAATCACAGATGTTGAAATAGGGACATGTCTCTGGAGAATTCAAGGAGCAACTCTGCAAATCCAGCTAAGTTCACTGCAGACAAGGAGACAGGAAAAAGACTGTCACTTTAACACCTTCCCTTCCACCCTTTTTTTAGGTTTGTACTTTAATGACAGAAGAGATCCTTGATAAGATCTGATACACCGTTTGATGAAGGATTCATCAGTTGGTGATTCTTTTTTTATAGGTGAGGTTTACTTGTTTAGCTAAACTGCAATATGAACAGCTTGTGATTTGAAGAATTAACTTGGTTCAAAGAAGTAACAGAATTAACCATGCTCATTTTGAAGCCCGTGCACACCTCCACTGAAGTGCTTTGCTACACTGGGGTCTAAGTCAGTCCATTAACAGAATCTGAGGAAAATAAGAAAGCAGGGTTGAGGGAGCAGATCTCTGGGCAAAGTTTCAGTGATTTGGCAGCAACTGTATTCCTTCCCCCACCCACAGCCTCAAGATTTAAATGTGTCATGGCACACGTTCCCCTTTACACAAATTTCACTGCTATTTCAAGAACTAACCAAAAGGACAGGGAACTGATCTGCAGGGGGCACAGGGCTAGGCCTGCATTTCCAAGAAGCCAGGTTGGATCAGGTACTTCTCAGGCAGGCACCCTCCTAACTCAAAGCCCTCTACTTCTGTAACGGACAGCCCAAGGAGCCATCCCTGCTCCAGTGACATAAATAGATGGAGCATCCCAGAGCTGTACTTCCACACAAAAAAAGGATCTGCTACTTCCTGCTCCATTGTAGCAACACAGGCCCATCTGCACCACTTAAGGCAGCCCACAATTCCCAAACTAGTAGGCTCCTATGAAGTACAATGTGTCTAAATACACACCCAGAAACACATCTGGCACCAGCCTCAAGCTGCCCTTCGGTCCCAGCAGCACCGCACTCACAGGGCAAACTCAGCTTTGTTTCCAACATCCACGCATACACTTCAGTAACAAACCCTGTGCAAAAGCTTACTGAAAAACCTTATTACTAACCAGGCACCTCCAACAACCCTGCTGCTGGCAGAGACACTGTACCTATCACACCTATTCACAGCCACCCCATCTCCGAACGGGCCAGCACACTGCCAGGGGTCATCGATCGCAAATGTTCACTGAATCTCATCCAAAACATACACTTACATGCATATCTTCCAACTGTAGTTTTTGCAACTGACAGCAGTACCTGCAACCACCGCTTCCCCTTCATTCGAATTTGGCCATGCTCCTGAAAGCCCTTATGCCTGTGTTTATTTTAGAAACAAACTGTCTCCCATGCAAGTATCTGCACAACCAGTGGTTCAATATCACAGAGCAAGTTTTCAATGTTATTAACTGTTATAGTAACGAGCTGGTTTTAAATAAATACAAAGCACTCAGACATAGACAGGCCAGGCACATACTTTTTGTTCCAGAGCAAAGTTCCATTCAGAAGAATGCTGCCTGCTCTCTGCTAGCACTTTCATATATTTAAGGTGCGTGCAGTACTTTAATACTTTTAATGTAAAACCAGACCAGGCCTCCAAACAGATACAGAACATGTCAGTGGTTGCTCTCAAAAGATGCTTAAGGGAGAAAAGTAAAGTGAAAAAAGACAGGATTTTCCTTCACATTCCACTTTATATACAAGAAAATAAACAGATCAGTATTTAAAGTTATGCCATTATGGTAACAACACGTACATGCTCATATATGAGCAAAGCCAAAGAACTTCAACTTTTCAGCTCAACTGAGGTCAAAACTGATATTCAGCCTACTACGCAGACATATAAATATTTCAACATGATGCTGTGCACTGCTTTTCCAAGCGTAAGGAAGAGGGGAACAGCTTTTCCAGCCTCTCCATATACGGATCAAACAATCTATAGTTCTCCTGGCTGCTCCTTAAACACGCTTTCTTTCACTACATTTCGTAACGCAGCTACAAAGTATAATAGCCACGAATTTAAACGAAACAACAGCAAAACTGATTTGTAAGCTTTCAACGCGACCTCAAACCCAAACCACCACAAAGCCAAGCAGCAAACCCAAGCCAAGGAGTGACAGAGCGCCGCACGGCGAAGAAGCGCTGGTCTAAACCCGAGAGCCCCTCACATTAACGAGGAATCTTTATTCCCGATAGGAGCAGCAATCACTGACGGGACGATGCTACCGCGGCGGACTGACTCCAGACCTCAACCCCAGACCGCTCCCCGCCCCTCTCGTCCCGCTCCCCCCTGCCGTCTCAGGTGGAGGAGCCCCGTCCCTCAGACACTCACCCTGCGGGGCGCACACCCCGCCGTGGCGGTGCCCGGCGCTCGCCGTCCCTCTCTGGGACCTCCTGCCCCGCAGCTTGGAGAGCGTCCTACGGAGCGGGTCAGCCATGCCTTGCTGCTGCGTCCCTGCCGCCTTCACCGGGCGCTACGCCTCGGCCCGCGGAACCCGGCAGCCCCGCTGCGCGGCAGGAGCGGGAGCGCTGGGCCGCGCTGCCCCATGGCGGTGTGCCTCCGCGAGTGCGGCCCCGGCTCCGCCGCGCACATACCTCGCATAGCTGAGCGGGGTGAGAGGGCGGCCGCACTGCGCATGCCCGGCCCGCCCCGGCCCGGCCCGCCCCGCGCGTGAGGGGCCACGGCTGACCCCCTATTCCCTGCTCTGGGCCGCCTGAGGGGAGCCGGTCCCGCCGGTGCTTGCCGGAGGGGTCTGGGGCTCCCGGGGCTATGGCAGGCGGCCCGGCGTCTGCCCCGCCCGGGCACGGACTTCTCAGCAATACCCCGAGTTGTACGTAGAGTCTGTCAGACTACAGAGAGGGGTATCGTCACCTGCGTTAGCCGTGTGCATGGCATTCCTTGCCAGACGGTCCACAGCATGTTTCAAATACTTCATAGCATCATAAAAACCTTTGACATTATCAAGATCAGCCGTTACCCCAGGACGGCCAAGTACACCACTTAGCCATGTCCCTATGAGCCTTATCTGCAGAGTTTTTGAACACTTCCAGGGACAGTAATTCCACCACTGCCCTGGGCAGCCCGTTCCAATGCCTGACAACCCTTTGGTGAAGAAATTTTTCCAAACATCCAATCTAAGCCTCCCCTTGCACAGCTTGAAGCCGTTACTTCTTGCCCTATCGCTTGTTACTTGGGAGAAGAGACTGACCCCACCTCACTACAACCTCCTTTCGGGTAGCTGTAGAGAGCAATAAAGTCCCCCCTGAGCCTTCTCCAGACTAAACAACCCCAGGTCCCTTAGCCGTTCCTCATCACATTTGTGCTCCAGACCCTTCACCAGCTCTGTTGCCCTCTTCCAGACCCACTGCAGCACCTCAGTGTCTCTCATGTAATGAGGGGTGCAGAACTGAACACAGGATTCACAGTAAGCGGCAAACTTACTTTTCTGTGCATGTGGCAGTTCTCACTCCCTGACAGGCTTTCAGACTGTACCTGCCCTCTCACTCTCCTCAAAAGCCTTTGTGCCCTCCGCAATGCAGTTAACACCAGCAACGCAGGGATGAAGCCACAATGTCAGGGGCCTTTAGTATTCCAGCCAAAATGCCACACAGGTATAAGACAAGTGGCATTAGGACAGAGCAAACAATGTACTGAGGCTATTGAAGTGGGCAAAAATCTGGGCTTGGTGTATGTGTTGCTCAGCTACATCGTGCAATGTTAACACAAGCACACAGCCCTTCAAAACCTATCTTGGGAAATGGTGTGGCACTGATTTTTTTACCAATATAAACTACTGGGACAGCTTTAATTGGTTAACATCTATGTGGGTTTGTGTCTCCCACATTTCATTTCGCTGTAAACAGCTTCAGGAATATATTTTGCAGCTTTTTACATTACATACCTTATGACCAATGTATGACACACCTGTCTTGTGGGTGAGAGCAGAGGAGCTGTCGCCATCTCCTACCCTTTAGCGATGTGTTGGATGTCATCTGTCTGCAGAAGGTAGCCGGGAGCAGGCGGGCATTCCACATGTTCCACATGCCAAGCACAGCACTGCCTTGAAACATGATGAAAGCCCAGACACAGGGCCAAAGGAAGGGCTCATTAAGTTCTGGAGGAACCAACCACAGCCCAAGAACATCGCATACATCCACAATTTCCTCTTTTACCAGATTCTGAAGGGAGGAGTAATAATTCGATCCTTTGAAACCAAATCTTCATGAAGAACAAATTTTAAATGTTGAATCATTAGATTCACCCAACAGCAGTAACAGTAATACCCGTATCTCTACAATGAAAACCAAAACCCAAACCAAAACATTACAGAATAGTTGTGATTTAATCTAAATCAGATCTCAGGATATTTATCATGTGTCATATTGCAACAACTTGAAATGCCATTTTGACATCACATCCTTTGAAACCATTTGCATTTCTTTAAATACACATATTGGGAAATACCTCTGCATGAGTTTCAGAGCAAGATGTAAAACCGTAACAGAATGCCCTTGGTTGGGACAAATAGATGATATGGTGGTGGCTGGGATGGTCTCAATGCTCACTGCTGTGCAGGCAAGGAGCTGTGGATCCTCAAGCCTCTGTCCCTGCAGGGGTCACATCCTGCCCCCTCTGACAGCTGTATCACAGCACCCATGGCCTGGGTTAGAAATAGCATCTCGGGCAAAGTAGCATGCAAGATATACATAAAACAAAACCTATCCGTGCTTTTCTGTCAGTGCATTCCTGTGCACAATTAATGAATCTATCTCCACAGATTAATTCACAATTACAGTTTCTTCATAACCTATGGGCTTAAGTAATGCCACCTCCTCTAACCTACTCTCATCTGTTTGAGTGGTTAAGCTTTCATTCCCAGCAAACACTTTGATTTCTAGTCTGGAATCGGTAAGCAAAACTAAGATTTTAATGATACCTTCCAGAACTGTGATCCTTGTCTGTAAAGATATAGTCAAAGAAGAAAGGTATAAAAATACTTGATGGCACTTTTTTTGTTGTTATTATTCATTTCATAGTTGGATACTGAAACAGGTTGCCCAGAAAAGCTATCAAAACTACATTCTGGGGACACTGAAAATTTGGCTGTCCCTGGCCAAGCAATCCTACATGGCTTCTGACCTCCAGCAGTTCCATCCAACCTAAATTACTCTCCCAGGTCAAAACTTTTCCTCATACTGGAGCTACCAACCTTCCTAGCTGAGAGATGGCTTGGATAACATGAATGAAGTCCAATCGAGCAGAACACCAGTGACAAAATCCCTGGTAAAATTCTGCATGGGCACCACAGCTCAACTGCACTGACCTTACTGATGCTATCAGGAGGTTAGCTGTGCAACCACCATATGTATGCCTGAGACAAAGGGCATGTGTTTGAAGTCTGGAAGAGGAGATCTACCCTACCAAAAAACACTGATTCAAAATAGGCAGCAGATGAACTCCAAGCTTTCTCAGCTAGAAATAGTTGTGGCAACCATTTCAAATTGAGCAAGCAGAAATATACACCTACCTTGGCTGTCATCTTCACACCTGCAGATTTCCATCCTGTTCTAATGAGAAATGAGATTCCTCCTGTCTACCTGTGCCATAGCTTGTCTGAATTAGTTCCCTAATGAGTAACAACTTACTGAACTTCGAAGAACTGTATGTAACTTTTAGCAAATTCCTCTTTATTTAGGTGACATTTTTGGAAATTTTTGTTACTTGGATATTTCCTTTTAGCAATTAGACCAATATTAGTAGAAAGTAGGTACTAGCCAGAGTAAGGAACAAATCCTGCAAAGAACTGGGGCACTGCTGTTTGGTATGCAGTACTGTCTTCTCCCATGACTATTAGCTATGGAAAGAAAAGAAAAATCAACATCATTGTATTTTCCATGCTGCTTCACACAGTGTTTTCTTCATGTTCTGTATGGTTTTAAATGTTAGTTTAAGCATTTAGATTATTCCTCTATGCAATAGGCACACAGGAAATAACTCAGTGAAAAGCTGCCAATAGTTGAGCCTATAAACACAGTTTGATCTGTATCTTGGAAATTTGTTTCCATTCCAACCTGTGGTTACAAAGCACTTTTTCTTGTTGGCAGATGGATTTTTTTTTTTAAATCCCTATGCATCCTGTATTTGTCCAACAGAGTTGGCATTGATCACAGACACACAAAAAAACAACAACCTTCAGATAAAATAACATTAAGGATCTGGCTGGAACTAACTTGAGCCAGTGGAGTAAGAGTCAAAGCTGAGCTTTTGTTTTCAGCTCAGCCTGTTTCATTCAGGAGCTGCAAATCACACTGTGCTGAACACAAGTCTTTTTACTTGACCTTCTACAAAAAAGCAGAAGCAACTTTAAGAGGTTGGGACTAGAGCTTGCATCAGCTTGAAGAGGCTTCTTCAAGAGACTGGCAAATATTCAGGACTGGTTAAACAGTGTGACTTTAAGCAAATAGAAAGCAGTAGTATTCTTCTGAAGGTACAAAGAGAAATGTTATGAAAGGTTTTTTTTATTAACAGACTGAGATTTGGCCAATTACTTAATCTTTTCTGAGTTGATGACATGAGGATTGTAAATGACTGCACAAGCAAAGAAGGCAAACTTCAGTTGGAAGAAAACTAAAAGCCTTGATAAGAAGGCTATCTCTGGTGAAGAAGCTGAAGGCACAGGTGGCAGTGCTTGGGCACTGACTGAGCTGAGTTACAAAATTACACAGATAAGTACAGAGATAAATAGATCCTAATAAAAGACTCACAAATGCGCTTCACAGCCTTGCTGACAGTGTCAGAGATCAGCTCCACTTCAGCAGATAGTGTCATAGAAGCTGTGCTTTCCTAAGTACACAGGCTTTCATTTCTGCACACTTTCAAGGAGTGGTTCTGAACTGCTCCAGTCTAACCTAGGAAAATTCCATCTGTCACAGCATCAGATGCATGTCCTCAGATGTACCTGAAATATAAGTTACATATTAATTTATGATGCAACTGTGCAAAGACATACTTTATTTTACTTCAATGGGATTAATTTGTGCGAGTAAAACAAAAAGTGTCTGGAAAGGTGAATGAGTCTCCTTTTCATTAAAGCTTAGCAAATTGGTATCTTTCTTCTCTCAAGACCTCTCGCAGACAGGAGGATAAAGTGACAATTACATTACCAAAGTGGAGCTGCTGACAGATGGGAACTGGAAGCACTTGAATGCCGCAATAAAATCTATGAGCACTCTTTTTATTGAAAGTGTCTGCCTTCCTGACATCAAAATGGACTGAAATAAGACTCCTGTGAAACTCTATCAGCAGCTAATTGCTGTGTGCATTATCTCCAGCCTGCCAAAAGACTGATCTCTCTCAGATGCAGACACCACTACAGTCATCCATACCTTTGTTACCCCCAGACCCTATTTTGAGCTGGCCAGCCAAGGCACCTAAGGGGCCCAGTGGGTCCAGAATACAGCTGCTTATCTTCTTAGGAGAACAAACCTATGGGAGAATGAAACATTTATATTCTAATAAACCTGAGGAGGTTGCTAGACAACAGGCTGACCAAAGCTGAAGGTGTTCGTTACAAAAATGGCTCCACCATCTGCTTCCCGGTGACTGGAAC